TGTGTGTGTGTGTGTGTGTGTGTGTGTGTGTGTCGGTGTGTGTGTGTGTGTGTGTGTGTGTGTGTGTGTGTGTGTGTGTGTGTGTGTAGAGAGAGAGAGAGAGAGAGAGAGAGAGAGTGGTGTGAGTGTGTGTGAAGCGTTGCGGTGTGTGTGTGTGTGTTGTATGTGTGTATGTGTGTGTGTGTGTGTGTGTGGTGTATGTGTGCGTGCGCGTGTGTATGTGTGCGTGCGCGCGTGTATGTGTGCGTGTGAGTAAGCCACGGTGGCATCTACATCCTTCACGCATAAGAGCTGCTAGAGGAGTTATATCTATGCGTGAGAATAGCGTAATGGGGTTAGGGACGGATGTAGCTATAAGTTGGTTCGGAATGGAGATTATAGCGTTAAAGCGAACTGCGTACGTTTAAGACGCGCGCGTTCTTGCATCTTCTGTAACCTTCTCATTCTGTAGCTACACATCGCACCCTGCCGCGCTTCTCCCGCTCGTGTCTCATCCTGCCTTTCCACTGCTTCGCCTCTTTCGCATCACTTCTCCTCCTCTTGTTCCCCCCCCCCGATTCATCCGTATTCCTCTATCACTTATCGCTATCTTCGTTTTCTACTATATCTTCAAACTCCTCTGTTCTTCGCACAATTCTTTCTCTCATGTTTGCGTCCTTCCCCTTTACTATTCCCAGAATTTTCCCGCTGGGTACGATGATGGCATGGACAGAGGACGGAATCTGAGCTAAGCACCGAGCCCGTGCGTGGACAACCGCAGTCTATGACCCTTTGCAATCGCAGACGGGGTCTTTGTCTCGCGATCTCGCCTTTCTCGCCCCGCGTTTTACGACGTTCGATGTCTGCCTCACTTATCCTCGCCTTGTTTCGTTTCTTCTTCGCTGCTCATATCAAATAAAAGCCACATAAAATCATTAACTCGTAAACGAGCAAATCGCTGAGCGTTTTTGCTCCGTAAGACAACACCGGTGGTTTCCGCCACGGTCGCATCCTCTTCCCCGAGGGATGCTGCGCTGCCCGGCAACCGTAAAGAAGCTGCGGTTGGCGCGGGCATCGACGGACGCAAGTCAAAACAGCGAGAATTCTCGGCCCTACGGCATCTGTACCTGACAATCATTCGGCTAGATTGGGTTTCTATTTTTTCAACCTATCTAGGCTAGTGTCGATGTGATGCTGGTATAGATAGACAGACGGATAAATAAATAGACAAATAAATAGTTTAGATAGATAGATAGATAGATAGATAGATAGATAGATAGATAGATAGATAGATAGATAGATAGATAGATAGATAGATAGATAGCTAAATAAATATATAGATAGATAGATAGATAGATAGATAGATAGATAGATAGATAGATAGATAGATAGATAGATAAATAAATAAATAAATAAATAAATAGATATGTAGATATACAGGACGGACACAGAAGACTGCGGGATGTGTTCCCTCTAGCTATATAAGCTCGTCTCGCATGCGAGCGTCACATGATATACGTGCTAGCAGGGCTGTGTGCTTCGCTTGATTCTAGATGCGGTGATTATAGTATTGCCACTGATGCTCGCAACATAATCCTATAACTCTCGTGCAGCCATCGTTGGAAGCCGCATGCAGGCCTGATCAGCTCGTTAAAAACTCATACACCTCGTGTGAAACACGTGCAAGAATGCGAGCGGATGAGCAGGCGGTGGCGCGGTTTACGCGACCCGCGGATTGGTACACGAATGTGACGGAATTTAGTGGAAGAATAAAATGGCTGAGAATTATTTGGAGAAATATTTTTGAGTTTTACTCGTTCTAAGCGCGGATGTGTGTAGAATCTAGTCGATGGTATATGACAGCTGATTGGTAATCGAGGAGAAACATGATTTTGGTATAGTGAGAACGATAGTAGACGGCAATCAACATTATAATATGACCACAGTGAATCTAACATACCCAATTGGACCGACGCCCATAATATATATATATAGTATATAGTAAGGAAATGATCAAATAAATATGTAAATACCAAATAACTGTGTATATATGGCATATGTTTTATATATATATATAAGGATTTATTTATTTATTTATTAATTTATTTGTGTGTTGTGTGGTGTGTGGTGTGTGTTGTGTTGGCGGCGCGCGCAGCGCGCAGCGCGATGTGTTATGTGTGGTGTGTGTGTGTGTGTGTGTGTGTGGGTGTGTGTGTGTGTGTGTGTGTGTGTGTGTGTCGTGTGTGTGAGTAGACGCGTGCGGGCTGCGCGTGGTGTAATATATAGATAAGTATTATAATTAGTACGGGCGGTTGTGGTACGACTTAAAATAGTGCCGTCCCGTGTTTGTAGCTTGACTATTGACCAGTCGGAGCTTTGTATAAATAGGCAACAATCCATCGCTATATGCAGATAGAGATCAGCATCGCGTGTGGCGGACCATTTTATAGATTGTTAAGACAGTACCGGCGTTCACCAATTCATAGCCCCATGAATGATTAGGGCAATAATGAAAGCTTTGTAAAAACAGTAACATTAAATTGCACATTAATATGCCTAATTAATTAAGAGTTATAAGGTAAAATAACGTATCCAGGCACTTAATAGACCATGAACAAAAATATACCGAAAACGGAGTGTTAGTTGTTGATACGTTTGTTAGACCCTCCTGAAGGCTTTAAGAAAGGAGAAAAGCTTCGGTGTGAGGAAAGGAAAAGATGTTGGTCGTACAAGCACTCATCTTTACATTGTTGACAACTCGGCTGACACAGCACATAACGCAAACACAACGCACGCAAGCGCACGCACGCACCACGCATCGCACGCACGCACGCACGCCACGAACACACAACACACACACACACACAACACAGCACCACACATCGCCCCACACACATCCCCCCACGCACACACACACTCACCATCTCTTTTCGCTTCTTAATCTCCTGCGTGTGTTTCATCACCAGATCCGCCTTGAAGTTCTCAGCCAGCAACGTCGGGTCGTCCTTCGACAGCACCTCGGTCAGGTAGGCAATGTAGGACGTCGCCAGACGCAGCGTCTTGATCTTGGACAGCTTCGTGTCGGACGGCACGTTCGGTATGCACTCTCTCAGGTCGGAGAAGGCAGTGTTGATGCTCACCGTTCTCCGACGCTCCTTTTTGTTCGCCGTGGTTCTCCGCTTGATTACCTTCGGCGGCCCGATCCCGTTCGCCGATACGACAATGTTTCCGTAGATATCTCGCTGCGGCTGTTGTGGATCCTGCAGTCCAGCGTAGCCGCACATGTCCATCTGAGCGTCGGCGCCCAGCATCCAACTCTGGTAGTAACCGGGATCCGGCATCGGGTCCCGCGGGTAGGCGCCCGGGTACGGGTAGAACTGGGCGGCTGAGTTCGGATGCAGTCCCTGGTGGTGGTATCCGCCGACTAAGCTCATCCTGGGAGGGCAAGGGGCGGCTATGTGCTGCTGCGAGTGGGTGGGTGTGCGACGATTACCACTGTAGTTGGCGCCTCACTCGCTCTGCTTCTCTGTCTCGTTGCCGGCGCTTTTTTCTTGCTGATGGAAAGCAGGATGACTGCTTCGTCTCTCTCTCTCGATCTCTTGATCGCTCTCTCTCTCTCTCTCTTTCTCTTTCTCCCTGCCTCTCTTGCCGGGTCTCTCTCTCTGCCCTTTTCCCGTCGTTTTTTTTAATCTCCCCCGGTGATATGAACCAGGGAATCTTCTTGTATCGGCGAATCTGTTAGTCGTATTGTTTTTCAAAGCAGTTAATTCTGTTTGCGTGCGTTTCTTGTTTTTCTCGCTCGCTTCCTGTTTCGCTTCCGCGCTCTCTCTCGCTGGCCGACCAGCTCTGTGCGCACTCGCTCCTGTATTCCTCCAGCAGCTCTAGACAGATGGAGTAGACCTCGCTCGCATCCTCCGCCTGTCCGCTATATCCCCAACACAACATCACAGCCGCCGACTCCTCCACCAATCAGAACCCGGTGGGCGTGTCCTGCTGGCAACGAAGCACGCGGATTGGCCGACCACGCAGGCATCCCCCGTCAATCTGACTGCGGGAACACGCCCACTCCCGCCGCCTCCTCCCTCGCTACGGTGCAGAGATGGATAGTGGGCGCGTGTTGTATTCGTATGGCAGAGCGAAAAAAGTGTGAATAAGTCACGCTCAATATGATAGCCCTCGTCATGGCTGGATCACGCGTAGTGATGATCATAATCGATCATGCGTCGCGTCCCACCCATCTCAGCATCCCGTGTCCCTGCGCTCTCAGTCTGCGTTTCCCACGCGTTCACTTATGGCTTCCCCGCGTTATCTGGCTTTATCTGTTCATCTGTAACTGGAGCCGCGTCCCTCGTTCTCCCGCGAGAACTCCAATCTTGTTAGTGCGCGCAAAGCCACGACAAGTATCTTGCGACGCCGGCTAATCCCGGCTCAGTGGGATGGCTGCGGCTACACCACGCCAGTGCTGCTCATGGCTCTCCCTCCTCTTCCCTATACTGTCCACTACACTCCTCCAATGCCCTCTCATATTCCCTGCCCCATACAACTGTCCACGACAACACTGCATTCCTTACTGTCCAGGTCTGCCCGCCCCTCTCCCCTTCCCTACCATATACCACTGTCTACGCTCACCTCTCTTCTTTCCTAACCTATACCACTGTTCATATCTGCCCTCCCCTCTCCTCTTCCCTACCGTATACCACTACTAACATCTGTCTTCCCCTCATCCTCCCTACCGTACTCTCCACGTCTATCCGCTCTCTTACTTCTTGGCGTATACGGTTGCCCTCTTCTTCTCTTCCCTCCCCTCTCCTCTTCCCTACCACATACCATGCCGACGTCTGCCCTCCTCTTTCCTCTTCCCTCCCGTGCAACAGCGAATCCCCTCCCCTCTCCTCCTTCCTACCACAGCCCACGTCTGCCCTCCCCTCTCCTCTTCCCTCCCGTGCAGCAGCAAACCCCCTCCCCTCTCCTCCTTCCTACCACAGCCCACGCCAGCCCTCCCCTCTCCCCTTCCCTCGCGAGCATCAGCGAATGTCCGAGTTTTTAGTGCGTCCGGCGTCAGGCTGTCGTGTGCATGGCGACGGCGCGCAGACGCGCAGGAGACGCGAGGTCCCGCGAGAGCGCAAACGACCTTCCTAATCGCCGCCGCCGGCATCTGAGAAGCGGGAGCAATGTTACCGCGGTAGCTGCTCTCGCGCGCGGCTTATCTCCATGTAATGAGAGGGTGTGTGTGTACACGCTGTGCATTGCTACATGTACTATACGTGTGCAGATTGCTTGTATGCGAATATAGCCGCCTTCTTCTGCTCTTCCCATGCTTCTAAATTAGTATTGATGGAGCTTAGATTGATCTTTTGGGCTCTGGATCATAGCGGACAGAAACAGAGGTGACGTAAAACTATCAACCAATCTAAGCATCGCCATCTTCATTCTATGATTTGCCATGATACCATAGCATGCTTATATTACGACTGGAATGAATTATGGGATCGCGTCATGCATACGAAAACGAAGGACATGGAATTGTAATAAAGATTTTATTCCGTGTCGGTGAACACGGAATGGGAAGCAACGACCCGCTTCTCAAATTAATCATCTTGCAATGACATGCGTCATTTCCCGAAGAGGCGTTGTTTTCCGTGGGAATCTTGGACTGCCTCCGGACGTAGATTAATTGTTTTGTTGTAATTGTTTTGGCGTATGTGCCTATAGGGAAATAAGCGTTCATCAATAGTACTGCTCGTCTTGCCGAGTGTTGAAGAAACCGACAAGGAATATAGTCTTTAAATGATCGTACTAAATCTGTAATACATTACAACTTTATTTACAATATATAAAAGAACTAGTTACAAAATAGTATAATACACGGTCACGCGTCAACTTTCTACCCACCCTCCCTCGCTCACCCCATTCCAATACGACGCCAACACGAACCACTTTGTTTATAAACGTGAAGACTGCATGAGGTGGGCGTGTCCTGTTGTATGAAGTAGCTGAAAACACATCCGTATACAAAATATGCGGACAAAATGCACATTAACGGTATATATAACTCTATGTTAAATACGTATAGGTACGTGTTTTTCCTTCTCGAATACAGCAAGAATGAATTTATAAACATAGTCTTTCCTGCGACGATCAATCGTCTAGTGGCTCATTTCTCTCACGTCCAAACAGTTCGTTAAGCTGCAAGATCTGATTAACCACGGATGTGCTTGTGTTTGTGTTCGCCATTTTTGTATTCTGCTACAACCGTGGCTGAATGTAATTCGGCTGCCATGCCCTTATATAGCGCAGCGATTCGATTCCCCGGCAAATGGATGACACCGCAAAAATGTATAGACTGATCATCCACCACATTATCGCCGTGGCTGCCATGTACTTGATGACGAAAGCAGTGTCACGTGACGACCTGGACGGTATCAGCTGATGGCGGATGAACGTCACGTGATGACGTAGACGATGGCTCCCTGACATGAGTTATACACAAATATGCCACGTTACATCTGTGTCGGAGACGAACCAGCAAGTGCACGAATTATTCGGCGATGGGTTCCAATTGGACGGAGCTTGTCAGGCGCACGTGTGAGCTTGTCCTCATACGTTGCTGCCCAAGTAAAGTTGTCAAGGCGTCGCCATTAATCATATGCGACAGCATCCACATCATCGTCATCGTCGTCATCACCTTCTTCTTGGCGCTTGTGTCGCACAGCATTACCATCGCCATCGTTATGGCAATCATGTTAACGCGTATGTGACGCCGCATCGTCAACATCATCGTCATCGTCAAGACGCGTTTGTCACACAGCATCGTCATCGTCATCATCATCATCCGGACGCGTACGTCACGCAGCATCGTCGGCGTCATCATCATCGTCATCGTCTGCGTGCGGCGTGTGTCTCGCTTCTGAGCGCGTGTCACATGTGTGTCCGTCGTTGCTGCTGCTGCGTCACTGTTTCAGCTCCATGGCCCACACTTGCTGAGGCCAGCCCGTCCTGCCTTTCGGCCTCTTCTCCTCCGACGAGGCTTCGTTGTTTGTCTCGTCCTGCAACAGAAACGAGCTCGTTATTATTTATGCAGGATAAATACGTGATCAATATAACAGTGTTACGCCAATACTCTATGTTACCTATATATGAATAAAGAAAAAACGAGAGAATGAAAAAAACATAGATTGCGACGTATATATATATATATAATATACATAGATAGATAGATATTAGTAACTTCACGCCACTTGTTGTCATGTTACCTATATAAATAAATAAATAACAAAAGAAGGAAAGAAGCATAAATTGTGACGCATATATATAATATACATAGATAGATAGATAGATAGATAGATAGATATAGAGAGAGAGTGCGTGTGTGTGAAAGAGAGAGCGCGCACGCGTGAGAGAGAGAGAGAGAGAGAGAGAGAGAGAGAGAAAGAGAGAGCGCGCACGCGTGAGAGAGAGAGAGAGAAAGAGAAAGAGAGAGAGCGAGAGAGAGAGGGAGAGAGAGAGATGAGAGAGAGAGCGAGAGAGAGAAAGAGAGAGGGAGAGAGCAAGCGAGAGAGAGAGAGAGAGAGAGCAAGCGAGAGAAAGAGAGAGAGAGCAAGCGAGAGAGAGAGAGGGGGGAGAGGGAGTGTGTGTGAGAGAGAGAGCGAGAGAGAAAGGGAAGGGAGGGAGAGGAAGAGAGTGAGAGGGAGGGGGGAGAGAGGAAGAGAGTGAGAGAGAGATAGCGAGAGAGAGAGAGAGAGAGAGAGAGAGAGGGGAGAGAGAGAGAGAGAGAGAGGAGAGAGAGAGAGAGTGGGGAGAGAGACAGAGGATGGAGGGGGCGTGCGCGCGTGTGAGAGGAAGACGGCAATAAACAACGCACGCCGGCCGCCTTAAGTAAGTGCTTGCCCTCAGTGAGTGCTCTCACCACGCGGTGCATAAACAACGCTCATCTATCATTAATTAATTAAGCAATTATCATTAATTAATTGCTCATTAACGGACGATCGTTGCGTCACGTGAGCCGCGTGAGCAGGACTAGGGTTCAAGCTGGTTCGAAACCCGGTGACGCGTATCATTGACATTCAGTGCACAGTCAGATCGTGAGGAGATCGCGCGCACCGTCAGTTTCAGTTACTTTATATGCATAGATATACACAACAATAGATATTGAAATAATAATGTGCTGTGTATATCTATGCTTTATGCAATGATATTTTTTAATGATATTTCAACTCGTTGAGCTTTTCTTCGTGGAAGGGTTACGATATCATTGTTTCCGGCGATAAGTATGAACAACCGTCAACACTGAAACTCCCAAATAACAATGTGCAGATTTATGTGTGACACCAGTACTCATGTAACATTCTGGTTTGTTCGTAAACCGATATTTCTTCTCATACCCCGCGCAATTCAGTAGCCACCACATCGTACCAGCAAGACACCATCAAATTTTCTCAAATACACGAGGCGACGGGTGGGAGAGGCGACAGATAAACTTCTACATTCCCCCGTTGCTATAATGTAAGATAGGAGTTATATAACTCGTATATCTTTCTACGTGACGAGCACCAAGAACTAGTAAGTTCACATTAAAAAGTCAAGTCCAGTATAAGGAAACGATGCTGGCAATATTAACAATACCACGGCGTATCGTATACTATGCATTACATTGATAGGAATTGCTACATATAGCGTCTCACATATACACATTAGTATACACACACACACACACACACACACACACACACACACACACACACACACACACACAC